ATCGGTATCGGTATTGGAAATCAAAAAGAGGTATCAGTCCATCCCTAGTATATATGTATGTATATATGTGTGTGTGTATATGTATAATGCATATATATGTATATATATATGTGTGTGTGTGTATATATGTATAATGCATATATATGTATATATATGTGTGTATATATGTATAATGCACACATTATATAGATGATTGTTAAATAAACTGTATATGGTTCCAGTCATATTGTTTTGTACCCAACAGCAGTTAGGCTTTGCTTGATTTTCTCCTATAATTAAGAAGCTTGTTAGACTGTTCCTCAGTCTTGCTATTAAGATAATTGTTGTATAGCCTGTACCTGATCTTCAAGCTGCCAGATGCTTGTCTGAGCTTTCTTCTCGCGCTCTTTCACCTCCTTCAGCTGCTGTTTGAGCTCAGAGAGGCTGGAGGTTTTCTGGGAGAGCTCCCTCTCCAGCTCCTTCATCTTGTTCTCAAACATTCTGCAGTTAGAAGTCAAACAACCATTGGCTCAAACATTTTAAATTGTAGGAAGCAGGTAAACCAAGTTCCTTATTGTGCCCGTCCATTTATTTAAGGCTGACCTGGTTACCACTGATGCTTTCCAGGTCTTACTGTCTGCTCCCTCTGTGATGGGTCTGGATAGAGCTGTCCGCAGTCTTTGCTTAGTTTCTTCCAGTTCTGCCTCAAGCTTCTCGTTGTTCGCTTCCAGGTTTGTCTTGGTCACTCTCAGCCTTCCGGCAGCCTCCATTTCCTGTTACAATATTAAACATGCACATCCAACTGAGACAGGACAGATGAAATGTTGATTACCTGATTGAGAGCTGTTTATACAGGTAAAAGCTGTACCTGCAGCCAGAGGTGGATCTACTGAATACTGACCTGAAGGGGGCAAATACTTTTGCAGGAATTTACTTTACACTTTATACGTTTAATTAACTGACATTACTTTGTCGAAATAATTTTTCACTTTGTAATGAAAGAGTCTTTCATTGTAAAGCCGAATTAAACTGACCATGATTCAATGAAAAGCAACAAAAAGGGAAACCTTCCAAGGTGGTGAGTACTTCCATTAAGCGCTGTCTTCAGGAAGTTTTATTACAAATGACAAACTTGTGTTATTATTATTTTTTTTTAAAAAAGGCAGATTCCATCATGAGAATAATTGTTGACATCAAACTCAAACAGAATGAAATATTAGTTGAGGTATTAAGTCAGTACTTATTCCAACCTGCCCCTATGAAGAACCCCCTGGCTAGGAGAAACATCTTCAGAAAAAACAGAATTCTGCCACTGCCATGTTTTTTTTTTGTTTTTTTTTAAACTTACAAAACTTTTAGCAAGCCATAATAATAATATATATAATAATAATAATAACTGTAGCAAAAATATTGATAAATATGTATGGAGAGTCTAAGTTAAGGGTTTTTGTGTCCTGAGCTCAGGTTCACAGGCTCGTTCATTCTGGCGGCGTACTGCTCTGCTGCTCTGTACCTCAGCACTGGCTGCAACCCATCAAGAGGCGCTGTGCCCCACAAATTTGGGGGTTGCTGAGCAAAAACTTTAATTCTTGACTTGTAACTGGTGATTTGTCTGTATTTCCAGCACTTGCAGCCAAATATTTAGACTTTTCATCTGTTAATATCTTTGTACACATTGACAAATCTCACTACAGACACACAGATTGAGACACAGACACATAACTCTCCATACACATTTACAAATAGCTATGCTACAACAATACCCCCAGACCATAAATATACAACAGTTACCCTTTTATTCTCCTTTCGCAGACGTTCATTTTCCATCACTATTTTCTCCAGTCCTTTGGTTTTAGATTCAAGTTTTGAACTCAGCTCAGCTTCGCTTTGGCTTTTCAAGGTCTCAAACTGAGCCTAGAAAAAATAATATTAACTGTCATATACAGAACAAGAACAGAGAGAAAAAAACTTGTTTAACAAAATCTGTATGATGCATAAGCTGTAACAAAGTTCACAACCTTTAGTTTTTCATTTTCTTGCTCCAAAGCAGTGATCTTGTCTTGATTTGCAGGGGTGCTGGATTTCTTCAGTGATTCATTTTCCCTCTGCACCCTCTCCACCACCTTCTTCATCAACCCAATGGTCTTCTCAAGCTCAGGCACAGTCTTACCGCTGTGACCAGCCTGAGGAGGAGCACATTACAAATCATCTACTGGAGGATGGGTTTGTTGGCGAGAACGTCATTTCATTTTGCTGTTAGATTGAAGTTTTGAAGGTTTTTTTGTTACTTAATATCATGTATTGTTTTTTCAGTTATTTGGGAAAACAATAGTGTACATAAAGAAAACAGGTGATTCAAGGTTAACTTACTCCACGTATGTGCGCCAGCCTTTTCTCTACCTCTGCCTTTTCCTTTTTCAGTGCACTGCACATCTCCTTAAGGTCTGCAACCTGATTCTGTGGAAGAAAACAGACAAGAGAAACCGGATGAAATTATACAAGCACTCTTGGCAAAAGAATAAGTTGCTGTTGCACAAGCCAGTAAATCAATTTTGAAATAAATGCCCAGTTTATGAAACTTTTAATTTAATACTGAAATGAATGTGAACTTTCTGATGCAATGAAGGAAGTCCACGAGTTGTCTGTGTGATGTATAGTTCATGCAAACTGTTTTTCAGTTCAAGTGTGCAGGTAAAAAAAAAAAAAACTGCTTAAAACAAATGGCATCTTTAAGTAAGGCTGTGAAAGGAGATTCACCACACCTTTCAAATTGATCATTCAATGAGGTAAAATAGAAGCAGCTGCTGCCCTGTATTTGGAGGTGCTCTGATTTGTTGCTACATTCTTTTAATTGATAGCAAACAGTAAAAAGTTCTTAAATCTCCACAAATCCTCTGTCCACCTAATGTTGTCAGCATGTTGCCCTCCAAGCAGACTCCAGTGGGCTGGAATAGTAATATAATGAAAAACACTGTGCTTCTGTGATGTTTCCCGCTGCCTGTGTGCACAAAGGAGTTTATTCAGGGCTTTATACTACTTTATAGTCCACCTGTAGTATGGTCATTCTTCTGGAATAGTATGCAAAGATGTAAAGTTAGTCCCTGCTTACATCTTATGGACACCATGGACATGTAGTGGATGTTATTATACTACATTCTAGTCAGTTTGAAGGACTCTATTCTGTAGATGAGCAATAGGTGTCCACACAGAGTCTGACAGGCTTGGGAAGATGATGAAATTAGTGTTATATGAACCCTAGCGGGTGCTTACAGATGTGGAGCGTGAAACACTGGCCTTATGAAGGTAAAAGCATCCACCTGTCAGGAACTCTGAAGCTCTCTAATAAACACAACACACTGGATCTTGTTAAATTCATACAAAAACTGAAGACTGATAATAACTGAAAGAAAAAAAAAAAGGTGGTTTTACGACCTAAGCTAAGCCAACGGTGACTTTTTTTTCTCTATACATTACAGCGGTAACAACGCTCTTAACTCACTCTCGGTATCAAAGTGAAAATGCGTATTTCCCTAGAAGTTAAACTATCCCTTTATAAGAATCAGCGTCAGTAGAACTGGTGTTGCACTGGGCAGCTACTTCTTGATTTGTGAGTACCTTGAGTCTTGGTAGGTCTTTGTTGATCTGCTCCAGCTGAAAGCGCAGCTCCAGGTTCTCAGAGGCCAGCTTGAGGTTTTCTTTTTGAACATCCTGGTCTCTCTGTGATGGAGTGCCAGTGCCTCGTCCTGAAGTCTACCGGACAGCAAAGGCGCAGAATGAGCCAGAGTAAGGGAGTTAAACACTTTTATTAGGTCATTGCCGTCAACTGTGGTGGGGAATATTGCCTAGGGAGTACAGAGACAGCGGATTTTCTTCTTTTTAAATAAATGTCTTTGCTCTTTGGGTCATGCGACTGCCTCTACCTACGTACCTCGAGGCTATGATGGCCAGTGTGGGGGAGAAAACACCAACACACTAATAGGGCAGTCACTACTCACTGGATATGCCTGACTTTTGCTCTGCCACATCTAACACTATCACCGCACTACCACTTCAGCAGGGTGACTAAAGAAGCCTGGAGTACCTTCAGATATCTAAGAGATCTGCTTTCTCGTGTTGGTACTCGACCGTCCCATTTTCTACTGAAAAACCTTTCTGGGTTTTTGCTCAGTATGGTGCTGACGTCCACATCTGGCTCTGCTGAGCAGGACTGCTTTGTGTCCTTTGTAGTCTCAAGCTCTTCATCTTTCAGCTCAGTCTGTTCCTCAGCCTGTTTTGGCTTCTCTGATAGGAATACCACATCATCATCATCTTCTGTATCTTCACCAAGACCATCTCTATTAACTGTTTGACTTGTTTGATCATTTGGTGCAGAAGATGAAATAATTGTCTCCAGATCATCAGGGTTGGTGTCACTTCCTTTAGTCGTCTGTGGTTCTTCCTGTTCTTCAGCCAGCCTTTCTTGTGGACTTTCTAGAATATCTGCTCCTGCTTGTCTCTCATCTTCTTCAACACGATCATCATCAACATCTGCTTCTACGGTTACATCTGTTTTGATGGCTCTTGTGACTTCTGCCATATCAGGGTTCAGTTCTTGTTCAGTACGAACATTCTTTGCTCTCTCAAAGCTGGTTTGAGTTTCCACATCTGTCCTGCTTCGCTTTGGCCTCTTCTGACGGCCACCAGTGTCCTCAACAGCTTCAGGACTGACGGAGCGGCTGCATGACTCAACATGATGGGAAGCAGCATTCCCTTCGCGTGACCCGTCCTCAACATCAAAAGTGGCAGAACAAATCCCTCTCAGAGAAGAGATGCTTTTGCACTTCACAGACAATCAATCAGATTAAATCCAGTAACGAAGGAGACACATAAAGAAAGAGAGTAAAGAATGAGAAGGATTGAGAAAAACAAAAAACATATTTGTCTCCCAAAGAACACAACAGGTCACGTAGTACAGGAAAGTGAAAATACTTTGTTCAGTACATGAATTGATACGTACTGTCAACTATGTAGTGTACACGTTGCAATTAATGTAAGGTCTTATTTTGTATGAAATATGGATCTGGAGTTGCAGTGTAATCCTGCAGTTAAAGCCTATATTCAGAAAACTTTATTTGTCCCCAGGGGCCAATTAAAAAGGCACAAAGAGCAGGCAGTGCAATAATGACAATAAAGATAAGTAACATGAATGAAATAGGGATACGTATAAATATATATACAAATGTAGGACAAGTAAGACAATAAGAATAAAAAATAGAATGAATAGAATGAAAGACAAGAAAGAGAAAAAAGAAAAAAAACAAAAAAACTTAGTAAGATACTTGTGCATATGGAAACATCTAGAGAAAACTGGACTGGTTATCTGACCAACAGTCCAAAACCCAAATATATTGAGCTTAAAATAATATGATAAACAAATATAAAAATATGTGATAAATGACTGAAATGATTAATCAATAACCAAAATAGTTCCTGACTCTTTTTGTCAGTCAACTAACTTATCCAACAATTGCTTAAGTTATACCTAAAATTATTTGTTTTGTGTGACCCTGCTCAGCTGGAACCTGAAAATATTTGGCATTTTTGCTCGATCAAGAACTATTTGTTTATCGAAACAACCACCTAATCACTTACTGAAGGTCTCGATGGAGGGTCTTTGGATATCTGGCTCTCTAAGGAGTGGAGCCTCTCCTCCAGGAAGCGGTTCCTCAGCATCAGATTGTCCATGGCGTCGTCTCGAGGTAAAGCCTGGTGCTGTCTGCTCGTTTAACAGGAAAACAAAAGTCTTGGTCAGGATTTAGTAACAGTATGGTGAGCCTCATCACTGAGGATCTGGCATTGCTTAAAATCGAATTTCATAGATGATATACAGTGTATAAGGACATGGAAGGGATGCCCCAGACTAGAAACTGACATAGGAACAGGGTGATCTTGTGCAAATCATAATATAATATATGTTATGAAAATAAATAAATAATAATGCTTGAGGGCATGGACATTTGCATACTTCAAGTGATAGCTTTAAAAAATGCAGTTTCAAGTTATTACTGTTTACTTTCATGGTTGAAAGTGAATGTTGAACTAAAATGACATCCAGCTGAATACTAACTGCATTTGAAGGAGTTGCCAAATATGCTCATGAAATAATATTGGCCCAGATGTTGTTATCTTGTTTTATTTATTTTACTTTCAAACAGCGACATCACAGTTAGGATCAAGATAGAACCCTTCGAGCTGGAATTCTCTACAACAGATAAATAAGGTGAAATTCCTGTCTGAGTATTTCATAATTCACTGATAAGGGTCAGGTTATTTCTACTTCAGTTTACAATATTCTCATGCAGGTGCACAATACTGGTGATAAAATCTCTGGTATCCTTGAATATGATTTTACAGGCTTTTGCAATAATGTTGTTGACTAATGCACTGATATTTATAGTCAGCATTTATGGCAAATGATTGTATTCATATGATGAGTATATGTTTATTTTATGCCTCTTACTTTTATCGTAATACTTCACTGTGGGGTTTTTCGGACTATTTTTAAAAGCTATATTGTATAAATTCCAATGGGAAAAAAAAATCTTTTCATGTACACAACTAGATTTTTAAAGACTGTTATGTACCTTATGGTGAGGATTTTTGCCTCCAGTTCAGAGTTGTTCTTCTTCAGTCCCTCCATCTCCTCTTCCATTTCAGTGGATCGTACTCCCACCACACGATCAGCAGTCACACCTCGAGCCTTGAGCTTTTTCTGCAGTGCACTCTTCTCTTGCTCCAGTCTGCACACACAACAATATATAGAAGGGCTCAAAACAGCAGATAGAAATGTAAAAACACAGTGCGGCACTGTTTTTTTTTTTGCCACATTATATATAATATTATGGAACCGCGGAAGGGACATGGAGAAAGAAAAAAAAGAAAAAAACAGAGATGGGGAAAAAATAGAAGTATCTTTTGCGAGATCTCGCAAAAGTCACATCAATCTTATTGGATGTTTTGTGAAAACTGTGCCTCTTGCTAAGCACTGCTTGAATTTCTTTAGATTTTAGGCCGATTTCAAAATAAAACTCATACGGGTGGGTGGCCTCCATTGTCGTTTCTCCATACTGCCAAAAAGACCCAGAAGTATGTAGTTTTCTTCTTCTTCTTCTGTTGATTTGGCGGTTGGCATCTAACACGCAGTTTTGAGAAAGTTTTGTGAGATCTCGCAAAGGATACCTCTATTTTTTTTTCCCTGTCCTTGTTTTTTTTTTCTTCTTTCTCCATGTCCCTTCCGAGATTCCGTGTAATATCCTAAAAAAACAAAACACTTATTTTTGTGTTTTTTTAATTTACAAAAAAAAAAAAGCATTCTTGACATGTGTGCATAGTGACGGCACTGAGAGAACCACCAGAGTTTTATTTACAAAGCAGCTGAAAAGAACTGACTCGACCAAGTATCTTTAGGTTATGGTTAAAAAATAAGGAATGATTCAATCATGTACACCATGAGAGATCAAAGCAACCTGTGTGTATGACATACACACTGACCTGGCATAGAGGTCTTTAAGAGTGCAGTGTTGTTTTGACAGCGATTCATTCTCTCGTTCCTTCTCCTTCAGTGAACTCTTCAACTTCTCCATCCTGGCTTGCCACTTCTTGCCCTCCTCCCACCGTGCAATTTCTTCTTTAGTCTGTCCGACAGGCAAGTCATACATCAACTGAACATGCAGCGAAAGAAAATAGTGAAAATAATAACAATGGGCCAAGTGCAAAGTAGTAGGTGGTAGATGTATGGACTGTTTGGTTGTCTCCAAGCACACCTGCTTCATGTATGTGCGGCAAAAAAAGTGCATAATGGCTTGGTGACATGGGAAAAATGGGAGTGTGTGGTGGTTTTTAAATACACACACAAGTTAAGTTATGCTAGTAGCAGTGCTGCATGACAACAATAGATCGACAAATAAGGGCTCTTAAGGAAAATGATTATTAGTTTGGATTGTGCAGAGTCATTAAAGGGCTGCAGGGCTTTACACAACTACAGGGAACAGGGTTTTCATACAATATACAGCAACAGGGAAAAGAATCCCTTTTGTAGTTTTTAAATGCTTTTTTTGTTTTGTTTTTTTAATGTTGTGCTGCTGATCACAGCACTGCTCACTGTTTTTTTTGTGAAAATAGGGTCCAAAATGTTATATATATTAAATGCATTGATGTTCAAACCTTTCCATGATCATCTTTGACATTTTTTCTTTCTGCTCTTTTCTCCAAGTCAGACTCCAGCCTCCTGATCTTCTTCTGCAGATTGTCAAAGGTCGGCCCCCTCCCATCGGGTTCTGTCCCCAAATCTGTCCCTCTGTTCCCCTGAGCAGAAGGACAGATTTTTTAAATCACCTCATATTTCTCAGGAAAAAAAAAAACAGTTGAGGAAGTGGTACAAAATAGGACATTTCCTGTTTATGAGGAAAGCAAAGCACGCACTTTAAAAACACACAATGTGGTACTGATGCACACTAAAACCTGAATAATTAAATCAACTCTGATATCTGCTTGAGTTTATCTTAAATCTTAGTAGAATGTGAGATTCCATTATTGATGCATTCCTCAGTTTTCTTTCATTTGCTGCGGACAAGCCTATCAGCAGTTTGCGTGTCTCACGTCTCAATTTTTTATCTTATTTCAAGGTCTGAATGTTGTTCTTGAGTCAGAGGATTCCAGTCACTTGTCCACATTATGTTATGCTGATAGAGGCTGTGTCATGTGCTTGTCACTGAGCAGTTCACGCTGCAGTTTACTGAACAACAAAACCATAAGGCCGAGATCAACGCAAAAGGGAATGATGCCACACAAATCAATAACTTGATGTGTGATTCCAAACTTGTTAGAGACAAACCTGAAGGGCGTTGGTGAGCCTTTTGATTTGCTGCTTGAGCTCCTGGATTTCTTTCTCTCTCTCCTCCTTTTCCGCCTGCAGGCGTCTCTGGGTTTTGTTAAACCTCTGGATGTCTTGGTTCAATCCGTCCAGTTCTTCTTTCAGAGTATTCTCCCGGCTTCGTGCTGCTTTGGCAGACTCATTTGCAGCTTGAAGTTCTTCATTAAGTTCTTGCACTCGTGCCTTGGAAAATAAGTATTTAAGGTCTTTTCCAACTTAAAAGATAAGTTTGGTCACATTTATCGTTTCTGACATTGATAACAAAGGCCAACAAAAATCCAACATCATCAAAGGAGGTCATTCTTTTAAGTATTGGCTGTGTATTCAAAGCCTGATATATCGGAATCCTCTGTGCTTTGAAGCTACATTATTACCCTAATGCGTGTGCTGTTAAACATACACTTGTGTAAGGAGGCTGGCACATGCAACATGTTCATCAAATTCACCTGACAGACATGCAGATCCTGAAGCCAAAACTATTGTGACTGTAAATCATTCCAGACCAGAATGATTTAGGATATTGGCAAGTAAAAAAAAGCAGGAGCACATGATTTTAATGTTACTTTAAAGAAAATTAAATACAAAGTTGTTCAAATGATCACTTTTATGTTCTGATGAAACACTTCTATCTTGTTTTCAGAATGATAATTCCCAGACCCATAGGTCTAGGCATGAGGGGTCACTGAATGGTTTGATGAAATCAATGTAAATGACATGATATGGCCTTTACAGTAACCACATCACAACCTAATTAATACGATGACAACAGCTTCTCACCTTCAAGTCTTTGGTGTGTCGGTCAACCAGCATCTGTACATTGAGGCTCTCCTCTTTTTGTGCAGCGCTTGCTATGACGTGCTGCTCTGCAGCAGATGTCATCTCGGCCCTCAGCTCCAACAGAGCTTTACTAAGAGACTAAAGACACAGGGAGCACAGACAAGCCAGTTATGATTAATATTAATAATTCAGTGGTCAGACCTCATTTTACAGTTAATATAACTTTATCCACTTCTGCATGGACTACTCCCTCTAACCAGATCAACTGTTCTTGATCACACAACTGTTGAAAAGCACAGTTCACTTGAGGTTCAAGTTGTAGTACAAGCACAGACTGGGTGAACAGTAAGAAAACACCCAGGTCAGGCTGCAGGTCCATCATGTAGCCAGCAGAGAGACAAAGACTCCAGATTTATTTCATATCATGAGGCGATAATGAATAGACTGCATTTCTTCATTACCCTAAAATGAATGTGGGGGATTTTGTAAGGTAGTCAACTACTTTATGTTTCTTGCCTTTAAAAGTAGAATAAAAGAAAAAAGACTAAAACAAAGAGCAACCTTGAGCTGTTTCTCTTTCTGGGTGAGCTGTGCTTTCAGTCGCTCCACTAGGTTTTTCATGGTGTTGCTGGGGGAACGGACGTTGGCCTCCTTCTGGGCCTCCAGCTCAGTTCGGAGGTAGTTCATCTCCTTCTCCATCTGTGTTATCTGGCTCCTCTGGTCCTCAGTCTCACCAGTCAGAACTTTCAACTTGTCTACGTGGTTTTCCTCCAGCCTGCAACATCCGTTAGTTTTATTTTTTTTAAACATAAAAGTATTACATGATTTTTACATACTTTTAAGTTAACTATGACTTTGTCAGTTTGTGAGTCACAAAATGTGTCCAACATGTCTCTTCAGTGAATGTGCTATGAAAGGGATGAATGAGGTGGATGAATGAAAATCTCACACACTTGCAAGAAGCATACAGTACTTATCAAAAGTTAGAAAACAGAAAAAGCCCTCAACCACACTCACTCACAAGCTTGTAGCCCAAAGCCCAAAGTAATGACTAAACAGTTTTAAAGAACACGTATGAATTGTATTTAAGTTATTATTATTACTACCAATGGTGTGTCTAGAACTCATTCTGATAAAGACAGGGCAGTATTTATTACAAGCAGGGTGATATTTCTGCCTGATATGAAAAATCTTCCTTCTGTTTAGTAGGTAGTTTCATCATCAGAAAATGTTTCTGCCAAAATCAGACTGGGCAATTTTCCTGTTTGGTGAATAATTTTGACCTCACGTACAAAGCTCACAGACCGTTCCTGGATTATGCGAATGCAACATGTCGCAAGCACACATGCAACATGTATGAGCAATAACTGACACGACTCAAGACCTGAGTTACATGGGTTTTTGTGACCACTGGTTGATGCGCAATTGTGGTTCCAGCATGGAACTCAAACTGAAGCAGAGAGCAGCCATCACAAATATGATAGTTGGGATGGTCCAACTTTCATGTGGAGGATCATTGCTGGTGGCGAGAGGTGGAATTGTGGCTACCACTGAGAGAAGAAACAGCAGTTTTCACAGTGGAAAGGCTGTAGTCTCCAAGACAGAAAAAGACATGCCAGGTCAGGAGTGCAGCAGGAGCATGCTCATCATTTTATTGGGATTCATGTGGTTGTGCACGGTTTGTCCCTTCTGGGTGGAATGTCAAGGCACAGTGCTACTGTAATGTCTGAGGGCTTCTGAGAGAGACCATTTAGAGTGAAGGCATGTAGGTGCTGCAAGTCCATACAGTGCCGCATCAAAGTGCAGTGATTCTGCATCAGGTTTTCTAGGAACAACAAAACAACCGCCACTTCCCATACACCCCAGTTACCAAATATGGCTCCCTTCAACTTCTCTTAAATGAAATGCAAGTTAAAGGTTTGCCATTTTGAAAATGTTTACAGATTCTGCACCCAGTGCAGATGGTGCTAGTCATATTTCCATAGCATGACATCCAGGGAGTGTTATAAGTATGACAGCACTGGAAGTGGTGTATCACTGCTCAGAGAGACTAATTTAAAGTGAATGCTGGCCAAATTTAAACCAGGCCCAGTTTTTGATTTTTATAGGTGCAGTCTCTTTTTGATCGCATCTCATAAAGCAGGGCAGCATTTCTTACATGCAATATTGGCAGTTGTTTGTGACATCTGAGGGTTAAAAATTCTGCCCTGCAGTACAATTAGGCCTAGTTATCACTTTACTTCATATTTCGGCATAATTCTGTCAGACAAGCATATTAAACCTGACCAAAGGGATTCCTTAGTTATATTCCTATCGAAACCTAATGCATTTCAACTGCCTAGAAATAAATAATCTGTTAATGAGAATTATTATATTCACCTTTTCTTAAAAATCAGACAAGTTGATCCAAATATGTGGAGGCTGTAGTTGGAGGTGGTGTTGAATAGTGCATTATATTATAATTTGTATTTTTATTTATATTTTTTAGATATTTGTAAAATTTTCTCCATCTAAAGTCACACCTTAGGGTGTGTTCTTACGAGGCAGAAATGCCTTATCCTAATGTGCAAAGGAATTCTTGAAACATCTCTTTAATCTGATTTCCTTTAGCCATTTTCTATAAAACTTTAAACCCTTTAACACCCAATTTCCTTCAATTTCCCTTAAGTAGCCGCTACGTAGTTCAAATTGTCTTATTCCTCACAGTCTGACAGTATCAGCTTGCTCCATCTCTTCACTAAAGCTATATGACGTCTTCACTGAGTGAGACTTTTAAACCCAATCCTCCATAACAGAATAAAGATTCCTGTTTGATTAAACCTGTAATACGTAGAAAGTAAACAAGGATAACTGTTTTTGTATAGCGAAATCTGACAAGTATGCACGTTATCCTGTGCTTCATGTCTTCTGCACTACTATAAGACTTTTCAAACACTGGGTGTAATCCTGGCTGAGGTGGCTGAGACTGTTGGCCTGGATTTAGAGTTGCTTTGTGCTGGACGTGTCACACTTACAACATGAACGTGTGATTATTCTTCTGTTAATCTGAAGTTCACAAAGCAGCGCTTCACAGCAAAGTTGTCCCAACATTGCAGCGTAAAACACCATAACCTCACATGTGTTAACGGATATTTGAAAAGAAATGCAAAATTTGTCATTGTTCAACGTGCTCATTCTGTCAGTGTTGCTAGATGTTATCATTGGCCTTGATGTGGTCTGTAAGTTAATAAACTGCATTTATTACTTTAAACAAATAAAAAAAATTTTGATTTAGTTAAACCTTGTCTTTAAAGAAATAAAACTGTTAAGAGACTTTATGTTTGGTGCTGTTAATAATTGAAACAATCTTATGATAATGTACTAATTTAAATAAATGAAGAGCTCATTTGCAAAAACAGATAAATCCATTTTCGTAGATTTTCAGAGAAAAAAAATGATGTTGTTTGCTTAAGATAATATCAATCAAACTGAAGTTGAGTGGATTTTATTCAGTAGAAAAAACATAACTTAGGTTTGATTGATATTGTCTCAGGTAGACGATGGAAAAAGTGGGTTTTCTGAAGGTTTGTAAAGATGGAATTATTTGTTTTTGCAAATGAACTCTTCAAATACATTCGTGTTGAATACTGGGCCAAAATTTAAAAAAAAAAAAAATCCTTAAAAAAAAAATCACTTTGATATCTCGTCGGCGTGTTTCTTAGCCTGTGTTTGCATAGTGGTCCTCTGTCGCTCCAGCTCTGCGGCGCTCAGCTTCAGCTTCTCTGTGATGGAGCAGAGGGAAATGTCCTGCTCGGCCACTGTCTGTTCTAACTCCGCCAGACGCTTCAGGTGCTTGGAGGTTGGCACGCTGATAGTTGGCTTCTTCATCAATTCCTAGAAGAAAAAAAAAGGAAAGAGTTTAAAATTAAAAAAAATAAATAAATAAATAAAAAAAAATTAACCCTGCTTAAAACAAAGTACAAGTTAAAATTTAAACTCACACTCAAAGACACACAAAAACTTCAATGTCTGTGTTGATTGTGCTTTACATAGCTGCAACACATGGGTTGTCATGTGTGAAATGTCAGGCAAGATTGCATGGAACTGCATTACAGACTGCAAGGACTAACCTTGCGCAAATATTGTTGTGAGCCTTAGCCCAAAAAGTCAAATACAAGGTTTGCGTATTTAGGCAGGCACAGTTCTTAAAGAAACATAGATTCATAACTACCATTGCTGTCTGTTTGAAGCGATCCAGGGAGGTATCTGTGTGCAAGTCCAACTTCTGATGCAACGTTCTCAACTCCTCCTGATGTCTCTTTATCATCTCCTCTTGCTCCTTGGATCAACAGCATGTCGTTGAATGAAACAAAGAGACAGTTAAATATCTCTCTGTTTAATTTAACAGACAGAGACAGTTAAATGTAAGCAAAAAAAAAGTAAATGATCTGAATACTTCTTTCACCACTGTCCTAACCTTTAATCGTAGCAGTAATACGTAACAGTTAATACAACCTCTTGATTAAGTGCTGAGATATATGGTTTTCCATCATTTGGAAACTTTGTTTCAGACGACTACAAGAGACATTGGAGCTAATGACTGCTAAATGTTACTGACAGACTGGCTAATTCCTCAGAAAAACCCCGTAAGAGACTAATTCCTCAGAGAAAAAGACTGCACACCCAGTATCTCTCCTTGTATCACTGTACCTGTCTCGCCTGAGCCAGCTGGTTCTGATATTTTTTTAGCACGTTCTCTTTTTTGTCAAGTCGACCCTGAAGGTCTTTGATGGTCTGGTGAGACAGCTTGAGGGCAGGCTGACTATATGACTGGTCCTCTTCATACTTGGTGAGGTGTGCTAGCAGGCGTTCCCTGTTGGCAGCAGCTGGAAGCCTAAGACGCAGCTCATTGATCACTTTATCCCTGGACACAATGTTCTGTTCTGCCTTCCACAGAGCTTCTTCTTTTTCTTTCAGCCTCTGCATATGAATGAGTTAAAAGCTCAAGCAATAATATACAATAATAATGCTATACATTTGATTTATGAGGAATACTGAGTGTATGAGTAGGGACTGAATACTATGCCTTGTCCAGACTTTTGCAGGTGGCCTGTGTGTCCACGATGGTGCGGACGTGTTCTCTGATTTTACCCAAAGCAAAGTCCAACTGATGAGCTAGTGGTAGAGTTGGGTCTGGTAGGGATCCTGTACCTTCGTCAAACTGAAACAACCAAAACATGGCATGGTATGATGGCAGCAAATTGTTTTAGAAATGTGCTTAAAAGTGTAACTAATTGTTTATTACATCTAAATGTAATTCAATAAACAAATCATAAAAACCATACAAGACTTGATTGTTTACTAAACTGGAACTCCAGCTCATTTTGGTCCGAAAAAATTATTGGAGCTACTTCATCATCAAGATCTGGAATGAATGATTTACCTTTTCTGGACCATTCACAATATCATTCTGGTGTTTCTCGTAGTGGTCCACTTGACGTTCCAACTCCACCTCTCGCTGATCCCATGCTAGCTGGCGCTCTTCTTGAAGCTTGATATGTCAAAGAGAACACTTTCCTTCATTACCTTGACACAGTAATGTACTGAGAAGTTCATTACAGAGTGAGGTTTTCATGTCTACACTGCTCTCTACTCACTGTTTAAAATCCTGCCACAACAATCCTTTTGTATACAACACTGTAGCTGACTATATGTGCTATGTATGCTGTCTTGTTAGGAATAAAATGACACAGAAATGGGCAAATTTGTGAGTGTGTGTTCAGACAGTTCTAATAGTTTTTCTCTCACAGTGCTTTGTTGAACAATATCCTCTTCCAGCAAGTGGATGGTTTGCTCCTGCTCCTCCACAAGCTTCTTTAGGTACCTGATTTCCTCTCTCTGGACCACTAGCTCCCTGCCTTTTCTCAGCTCCTGCAGGCGAGCTTCTTCCATCTTCTTGTGCCATTCGGTAACCTGTTTTGATTTACATACAGCATAGTAGTTTCCAGCGATTGCAGCTCACAAATTGGGCGTAAGATGTTCCACTTGCAAAACAGATCCCAAGACCAGCAGCGTGGCATTGTTCCTGTTTTGTACATCATATATCAATAAATATTTGTGTCAATACCACAGCTTGTTTCCCCACTGACCTTCTGTGCCCCTTTCACATCCTTCAGTGTTGAGATGAGCTCCTCCATCCCTCGAAGCTTCAGTTCGAGCTCCTCAGCCCTGCCCTCCATCCTCCTCCTCTCTTCCTCTGCCTTTCTCTTCTCCTCCTGGGATTTTGCTCTGTCCTCCTGGAGGCTTACCATCATTACAGAGAACTTTTCCTGCTGGGGAAGTGGCAGTGCTCCGGCAAACTGCTTACGTAGCGACTGGATGGTCTGCCGTAGGTGCTTGGAGCGATTTCTGCCCTCCTGGCGGGCAAGAAACAGAGTGTGCTCACTGGCATCCAGCTTCTGTTCAGCACGCAGCTTGCAGGCCTCTAGCTGTTGGATGTGAGAGGTTGCAGACTCTAGTTTTCCCAGAGCAGCTGACTCACTGAGCTGTAGAGCCACAATGTGCTGATGGAGCTTCGCAATAAGAGCCTTCTCATCTGACTGTGACTGTGGGAGAGAGACGCANTGTATTGTTGCTAGCCTCAATTTCTCCTGGACATTTAACAGTGCAGTCATTCAGCTGTTACTGGTGACTCAGGACCGGCGGGCAGTGCGACCGACGGCACCTGCCTTCACACTGCCACGCTGTTGTGTTCAAGCAGAGACAGTCACGTGAATATTTTGTGCACAAATGAGTAATGAACGTGAAGACTCACAAGGTGCATGATTTGATGTTGGGTTGAATTAAGATTTCCCGTGCAAAGTTTACATTTCATCCATCCATTATCTATACACTGCTAAATCCTCACTAGGGTCATGGGGGGCTGGAGTCTATCCCAGCCGACTTAGGGCGAAGGCAGGGGACACCCTGGACAGGTCACCAGTCTATCACAGGGCTACACTTAGAGACAGACAACCAAGCACACTCACATTCACACCTATGGACAATTTAGAATCACCAATTAACCCCAACATGTTTTTGGACCGTGGGAGGAAGCTGGAGAACCCGGAGAGAACCCACGCTGCACGGGGAGAACATGAAGACTCCACGCAGAAAGATCCCGGTGCCCCCACCAGGACGCGAACCGGCGACCTTCTCGCTGCGAGGCAACAGTGCTAACCAACTGTGCCACCTTGCAGCCTATTTTGATTTAAATATTCCAATATCATTTTTACCCACTTGGTAGACCAGAACAACAGAACATACTAATATATATATATATTTAAATCACGTTGAAAGTAAGCATCAGAAAGACTGCACAAGTCAGGAAAATATACTAGAAACAGTGGCTAATATCAAAGTATCACCTCTGAACAGATAGGTAACAGAAAGTGCAGTGAACTATCAAATTTGACAAGTTCTTGCATCAAATCAACAGTCAGTTTCAATAAAGATAAGTTAAGTAAACAAGAGGATTAAAAAAACAAACAAAGAAACAAACAAAAAACAATGCCCTATTACCTGGTAGTCCAGTATTTGTCTCCTCAAAGCTTCTACTTCTTTTTCTTTGGACTTCTGTCTGGCCTGTAGAGCAGACACCTGTGTCATGGCTACATCAGACACCTCCTGAAGCCTGACAAAACGAAGCACATTGCATTGTTAATAATCATGTTTACCAGTAAAAAATATAAATACTAACATTACAGTATAGTCAGTGCAAGGCTGCATGTCACACTCACCAAAATATACAATATCAGCATTTGAAGTGCACAAGTATTTACGTCTACCAGTGCAAATGTAGCGTGGTATCAATATGAGACCACACAATGTTATTTCATCAAAAAGAAATAAGACTTCAAAATATATATTAATCTTGATCCAACTTTTAAAAGATTATATAAAACAGTCAGCTAACAGAAATAAGTCAAATTGCCCCTTGCCTCTTGAATACAGTGCTGTGACCTCAAAAACATTATGGCATGATTGTGAATACAGTCTTTTATAAAACTTAGATCTTACAAGATAATAATCAACCTAAGGCTTGTTAAACATACTTAGAAACCTCGATGTGAAGTTCAGCCTCTGCCTTCTCCAACTCTGCAATCTTGGCTCTGTCGGCATCACTGACAGCTTTGCTAATGCTGTCTGCCAACTCATCTCTCAACTCCCGCTCGACCCTTTGGGTCTCTGCATTCATCTTGGTCAACTTCGGAAAAACAGAGATAAAACTACTACATTAGAGTCATTACTTTTGTAAAGAAGAACCTAAACTGGGAGGGATCTAGCACAGATTGACATGTGATAAAATGGTTAAAATATGTAAGTTGTTTTATGATTTATAAAGGTCATGAACCAAAATACAGAGATGGCGAAATAGGTAATCTTTCCAAACACACTGACATAAAAAAAAGTAAATCATGCATTTGTACAATCCAAGTGAATTTACTTCTTAATGAGAAGGTTGTATGTCTGCCAGTTGAACCATATGGCCTGGCAGTTTGTTGAAACTATACTATTCTATTCTATGTCTCAAGTGCTTGACAGTAATAAACTCATTTTTTGTTTTTGTTGGTCTCTTACCTCTGCAAACTTGGACTCCAGTTTTAAGTTGCGCTCTTCCATTTGCCTGAGGGAGTTTCTCGTGTGTTCGTACATTTTTTGGGCATGCTCAGCTCTCTGCCTCTCATTCAACTCCTTCATCTCTAAAGTGGTGATTCTTCTCGCAGCAGACACTGTCTCATTGTTGACTGACACCTTGTCTGCTTTATCCATCGCATTTTGCCCTCCTGATCACAAAGACAACCCACAATTTAAAGTGATAATTAAACATAAAGGGTGGGATCCATAAACTATGAAGTAATCAAGTTGCAGTCCTGATCAACATTCACATTAGTTATAAGGACATTCGCCACAGTTCAAATCCAAAGAGTCCTCACAATGAAGCTAAATGTACGAAAAGGGGATGTATGTGACGTTCAGAACCACTGGATGTTGCTAGAGCACCAGTATATTAGATTAAAAAAAACAGTGCATCAGACACACATCTGCCTCTGTTTACATGAGAGCCAAAAAAAACAAAAAAAACAGCGCCAACCATTATCCTACGCTAGCACTGTAAAGTACACTGAATACCTCATATGACCTGTCTCTCCTTAGCTCTGAGATAGAGACATGAGCCGTGACACTTTTGACTCAAAAAGCAAGTAAACTGTTGGAGAAAAGGTGAGGACTGGCCGTCCACCTCGAGGTGTAAATGTTGGTTTGAACAGCCTGAGCATGTCTGTGGAAGTTAGTGAGCACTCTCATTGGTATTCTTTTTGGACTTAACTCCAATTGGATCCATGTGTGTCAAACAGACCAGTGTTGGCAAAAACCATTGACAGTACAGAGACAGTGGCCAAGGAGAAGCAAAGAAGCTATAGAGACTCTTACACTGAGCTGAAATGAAACAAGTCCGCATAAACTAGCCAAGTAACATAATCAAAACACTTGTTTTTAAATTCGTAATATATTAGTTAAATGCTCCTGATTGCACTTTTGCTTTAACAATGATGCGTAAAAGGTCACTGTTGTTTATGAATAGGTGCAACAGTTTCAAAGGGAGGCACTCACATACACTAACAAGTACACATGGTTGGATCAACTGCCAAATCATAGAACAGAGAAGCTCAAATTAAAAGGGTGACTTTCCTGCTAAGGATGAGATGAATCCACGAACTCTTAGCAGATAGTTGTTTGCTGCTACATTAATGTTATATTTATGTTCAAAATCTCATATATTGCACTTTTTAGCTGTGTGATAAAAATTAAAACAACGCATGGACAAAAAGTAGATTGCAGCACAGGAAGACAGTATATTTGGGTTTTGTGGGAAGCCTGCCCCCTTGGCTAAGCCTAGTGGTGTCACCACACCCTTGCAAATGTTTTGCTGATTGTTAGAAGGTCAAGTTTTAAACAATTAAAAAAACTTTTTTTTTTAAATATTGACCCCGTCTGTTTATGCTGTGTTGAAGCACTACTTGGGTATAGATGTTCTCTCATTTTATTTATTTTTTTGCTGTTTTGTAGTATTACCAGCAGTATGACACATTTTTTTTTTTTAGATTCAAATCACAACAAACAAAAACTCCACTTTTTTTCTGAAAGATAAAAATATCTGCAATGAGTAGTATCCTTAGTTTACCTATTGAACTGATGTTCTCCCATGCTTGCTCTAATGTATTAAGTTTCTCCTTCGTAATCTCCAGTTCTTCTTTCATGACAGAGATTTGGTCTCGCAGAGACTCGTTCTCACTCTGCGAGACAGGAAGAAAAACAATGCTTTGGTGAGTCACTCAACATCCAAAAATAACAAGAAAATGCATTTTGGAGGTGCAACATAAATGTTAATGTGTTAAAATACCTCTAAATGTTCAAGGTTGGTGGTTCTCTGTATGAGACGGTTGTCCCTCTGTAAAATGTCTCTGTATTTGACTGTTAGCTCTGTGTACTGTTTGTTAGCTCTCTCCAGGTCTGCAGAGGGTACGCTATCATCCAAGGCCTTCTGCAGGGCTGCTATCTTATATGCAGCCATATCCTAAAGACAAAACAAAAAGACAGACACATTAAAAGCTCAGTCTGGTGGTTATGACAGCCTGCTCAAAATATTGCTTTCATTTGTTCTGTTTTTCAACGGAAACAAATTAAATTGTATTTATATAGTGCCAATTCGCAACATATGTCATCTCATCGCATTTCACATAGTAAGGCAAAGACCTTAGAGTTTTTAAACACAGGAACCTAACAAATCCAAAGTGTCCTTTGGATTCTCTTTTAGCAAGCACTCTCATTCATCCATTTGCTGAAAATAAATCACAGCATTTAGCAATTTAGGTGATGTAATATTTTTTCCCACACTTGCTACATTGGTCACAATATCTCAGAAATATGAGAAAACATCTTGGTTAACAAGTACTACAATTTCCTGAATTTTACAGTGGTCCTTCATAATAAAAAGAAGTAGAAGAAGAAGAAGAAGAAGAAGAAAGATAGGATTAACTAACTAGGAAGAATATTGTTGGTGATGGTGATTGCTGGTGATTGTGTGCGATTCAGCTGTAAGCGGCGGTCAGAATCGGGGGGGGGGGGTCTGTTCGCATGCTGTTAGGGCGAAGATAGATGGTATGTGCGGTAGGGAGAGGTTCCTGTGGCAGGCAGGGCTGAGGGGATAGTATGAGGGGCTGTATAGGCCATAATTCATTCTCACACTCACACATGCACACATTTTAACTCTTACTTACATATATTCTCCTCACACACACATACATTCTCCTATTACACATACATATTTGGACTCTTACACACATGCATTTTCCTCATATACACATACATTCACCTCTCACACATACATTCTCCTCACACATGCCATAATATGAGGGGCTGTATAGGACAAAATGCATTTTTACCTCTTACTTTTTTTTTTTTTTTTAAGTTAATTTTTTGGTCGTTTTGCCTTTATTGTACAGGACAGCTGTAGGAGAGACAGGAAAGTGGGGGAGGAGAATGGGGGAATGGGTTGCAGCAAGGGGCCATGAGCGGGACTTGAACCCATGGCCGCTGCATCAGAGACCACAGGCCCTGTACATGGGTTGCCATGCCAGCTCAACCAGGTGAGCTACAGCGGCGGCCCTTTCACCTCTTACTTACTCTTCTGAAATCATGCATATACTACTATAACCACCTGCACATACACATAAAATCAACTCTCACATACAAACTAGTGAAAAAGGCACATACATACTACGAAAAGCCCACATATACGTACAAGTCAACCTATATGCACTTAAATGAGTGAAAACAGTAATGTATGTGAGAGGTTACATACGTGTATGCATGAGCAGAGAGCAGCATGAATGAGAGGTTATGTATGTGTATCCGTGAGCTGACACTAGTTAGAATGAGAACTCTGATGTATGTGTGTAAGAGGTAATGTCCTGGAAGAGGCGGTGCTACTACCCGCTAAGAATACCTCACGGGCTAGCTAGCTATCGCTAGTTAGCTCTGTTTTCTAAGGCGACTGCCGGCTTGAAATTGGTTTAACTGCTTTTCTTGGTGTTAGCCACCACTACTGCCGTAGTGAGTGTGACTGCCCGTGGAGTGCTGATTTCAAGTTTTCTTGCTAAAGTTGTGTGCTTTGTGTCTCAATATGAGCACCAAGCCTAAGTCAAGGAAGAAGTCTTCAGTTCGCCCCTGTACTCAGGGGTGCGACTTCTCCCTGCACGACAAAGATCAGCACGAAGCGTGTCCTGTCTGCCTGGGTATTGTCCACGCCAGGAGAGCGTTGGCGGACCCCGAGGCATGTGAGTTCTGTCGCCAGCTTCAGCGTTCAACCCTTGAGAGACGGGTCACGTTTCTGGAAAAGGTACTGGGCTCCACGGCCGCATGGCATGACCCTCTCCTCTCCCAGTCGAGAGACCCGGCTTCGTCCGAGTCTGACGGCGAGAGGTTCCCGGTCGAAGTCCCCGCTGCTAGCTGGGCAGACCATATGGAGTATGTTGATGGGTTAGCCGAGCTTGAGCCGGAACCCTCCGAGCAGGCTGGTCAGCCATTCGGTCTGGCAGCCCACCATGATGACGATGACGTGTTGGACATCGGCTTGGACATTCATGGTTTATCGGAGGACGAGGGTTTGTCGTCAGGTCAGGTTGCCGCTGCTGTTGCACCAGCTAGCCATGACGATAATTCCTTCTTCTCTCCGTTTCATAGAGCAGCGGAGAAACTGGAGGTGGAGTGGATGTCCGCTCCGCTGACTCAAAAACCATCGCAGTTCGCGGGATACTTTCTTCCTCCCGAGCCAGCGACGGTGAAAAACAGCCTGCCCATGTACCCAGACTTTGTCTCGGAATTGACCTCGACATGGAGCAAACCACTGTCCACCCGCGTCACCATGCCCGGCTATGGACAGTATTTGGACTTGGACAGCACTGAAAAAGCTGGTCTGGTTAATCCACCGCCTATGGAGCCGTCCCTGGCTGCTTATCTGGCTCCGTCCCACAACCACGGTGTGGGCGGCCCCGCAACTCTCCTGTCCAAGCACTGCAGGTTCTCTGCTTCGCAGCTGGAGAAAATTTACAGAGCTCAGGCGGGCACAGCCCGTGCACTGAGCTCCGTTACCATGCTGCAAACATATCAGGCTTTGTGTTTGTCAGAGCTGGGGGCTCTGATGACCCCGACACCCGCTGGCACCTCTCCTCGACAAAGTCAGAGTCGCTACAGACTACATTCTCCATGTTTCCCACGGTGCAGCGCTCTCCCTCGGCAGAGGGATGGCTTCCACCGTCGTGGCACAGAGACACCTGTGGCTGACACTGTCTGATGTCCCAGATAGAGACAGAGCCATGTATCTGGATGAACCAGTCTCCAGTGCAGGCCTGAAGTGGTGACTGCAATTCAGAGTGCACGGGCCTCATCCACTAGAGGTCTGTATGCATATAAATGGCGGGCATTTGAGCAGTGGTGCCAGAACCATAATGTTCTCTAATTTCAGTGCTCTATTGTGGACATTTTGACATTTCTTCAAGAGCTGCTGGATAAGGGTCTCTCCTTCTCTACAATAAACGTTTATTTGGCAGCTATATCTGCCTGCCACATTGGTTTTGATGGTATGACACCAGGCGCTCATCCTCTTGCCATGCGCTTCTTAAAAGGGGTCTGCCGGCTGTGGCCCGTGGTTAGATCCAGCGTCCCTTCATGGGATCTGTTACTGATGCTTGAGGTCTTTTGTGGTCCTCCATGTGAACCTATTGAGTCTGTGAATATGAAATTTATTTCATACAAGACTGCTTTACTTCTCACTTTATGCTCTGCAAAGCGAGTAGGCGACCTTCATGCCTTGTCGGTGCATCCCTCTTGTACCCAGTTCTCCTGCAATGGCTCCAAAGTAACATGACGCCCAAATGTGGCGTATTTACCAAAGATCATCCCTGCAGCTTACAGCTCTATGGCCTTCAAGCTCTTGAGCTTTTGCCCCCCTCCTTTTGCATCCAAGGAGCAGAGGAGGTTGCATTCATTGTGTCCTGTGCGTGCTCTACGCACCTATATTGACCACACCCAGAGTGTGTATTCATGTGACCAATTATTTGTCTGTTTTGCTAATCCAGCCAGAGGTAAAGCCCTGTCCAAACAGCGGCTTTCTCACTGGATTATGGAAGCGATTTCCCTGGCCTACGGCAGCAGAAGCCTCCCTTTGCCCAACGGTGTGAGGGCACATTCTACCAGGGGCATGGAAACATCATGGGCCCTATTTAAAGGGGTACCCATAAGTGATGTTTGTGGTACAGCTAGCTGGTCATCTCCGCACACTTTTGTGCAGTTTTATTGTTTGGATGTGACAGACCCTTCGATGGCTCAGTCTGTCCTTTCTGCTGGGTCCACCATGCACTAGAGTGCTGAGGGCTAGACTCTGGTTCGGTAGCTGCTCTGCAGGGCATGTATACATGTCCCATACTATATGTGTTGTACCTCGTTCCTCTCCTTCAAGGAACGAAATGTTATGTCTATAACTTCTGTTCCCTGAAGGAGAGGAACGAGATACAACACTTGGTTGCTCCGCAGCACAGCTGGGCTCAGTGAAGAGCGGCTATCAAACTGAGGGATGACTATGATGACAGGTATTTATGTCTCGGCAGGCCCTCACATATGTCATCACAGATCATCTGCCGTAAAGGCGTGAATAGGGGTGTCTTCAGTAAGGTCACACAGGGCGTGATATCCCATACTATATGCGTTGTACCTCGTTCCTCTCCTTCAGGGAACAGAAGTTCTACACATAACATTTAGTTTCTTCTGTCACTGCCTCAGTATGAACGGATGAAAACACCGCATCTGATCACACTCATTATTCATCATCAATGGCACAGCGGCCAAATGTTTTCACATACACAGAATACAAGCAGCGTTTCCTGTCATTCCAGACGTGATAACTCAGTTAGCAAATCACTGATCCTAATGCATAACAAACAGTGAACTATATTCACCCACTAAAAGTTCACCCTGCAGGCCTTCTGCTCAGCAAAGTCGCTGACAACATTGCTCAAGTCTAAATTCCTGGCTCTGTTGTTCTCTGTTGAAAGCATTGCCAACCCACTGAGTCTTTCCTGTCCCATACTGCCCAAATATGTTTTGATGAGTTTGAACTTAGAAAAAAAGCGCTCCGCAGTCGCAACAGTGACGGGTATGGTAAGATACAAAGCAATGCTGTGCAAACATCGCTGAAGGAGGCTGCTACAGAGCTGTGCTGCCAGGAGATAGGTGAGCAAGCCCACTGTACTGTACTCTCACATATTAGTTTGTTACAATGTTAGAGTATATTTGTGGAGTTTTGCTTCTTGCTACCTTGTATCTCTGCAGGTATCCCATCCTCTGGGTGACAGACGTCTGCATGTGGCTGATCTCGTCCCTCAGCTTGTTGTTGTCCTTGCGAAGGTGCTGTTCTTGTTCCAGCAGGGTAGTGCAACGACGAGTCAGTTTCTTCTCGTTAACCTTCAGCACTGTCAACTTGCGAAACGTTTCGCTCAGCTGTCTCCTGATTTCCTCTGGGTCTCTCTGAAGGGTGTCCAGTAGCTCCTAATGGGTGAAAATAAAATTACTCACCCATGAAATTTGCACAAGGGGAAAATAGTCATTAGAAGGTAGGATATGTACATGTACATTTTAACATCAATTCTAACACTGAGAAGCTGATTAATACAAGTTGGAATCTGTGCTGTCCAAGTGTCTTCTTCATATTTTATAGTGCATGACATAATGAGTGTTCTGTTCCTCTAATGTGTACTTCAAATTCACTGAGTTCAAAGAAAACACTTTATGAGATTTGTCTGTAAAATATTTATCAAATTAAACCGTCATAAACCATCTGTGTTCGTGTGAAAAGGAGAGCCACATTGAAAAGAGAGTAATGGTAAAAGCTTCTTGTAATTGAGTAGAATTAATATTTTACGTTTGTCAGACTTACATTAAATTCTTGGATTTTAACGTCATCCACCTGCTTCTGCTCCTCCAGCTTGTTCCTCATCTCTGTGAATGTCTCTGACTCCTTTTGCCACTCTGCCTTGTCACTAAGAATAAATAGCATCATAAAAACTCTTTTAAATTTCATACTTAGGGTTGTAAATCAGCTGCAACCTGCAAGAAATGTTCTTCTTAACCCACCTTAGATATTCCTTATAGAGGAGGCCTTGCTGATGGCTGATAACAGCAAACTTCTCCTTGTATTCGTCCAGTGTTCCTATAAGTTTCTTGCTTTTTTCTTCTTTGTTTTTCACTTCCTAAATAATAGTAGTATTCCATGTATTAGAAATGTTAGATTTTTGTCATTCTGAGTTTTGGCACAGTTGAGGTGCAGTTATTCTCATCCAGGTCGTGTAAAGACAGCAGCACTGACCTGAAGAAGTCGAACAGCGTACTCATTCAAGGAATTGATGACCTCAGTGCTGCTGGGCTCCAGGCCCTCAGGGAGGGTCAGAGGTCGGAGGACGGCTCCACTGCTACCCGACTTCCTCAGCAATTTCAATTCACCTTCAAGCTGGCTCACCTGATAGGCACAGGTGACAAAAATCAAAAGCAAAGCCCAGCAGTCAAACCTTTTTTTTTTTACCAACTTCAATTTCTCTAAAAATATCATGTATACATCAAAGCACTACCTTTATTTGCTTCGAGTAACAGAGACTTATTTAGTATAGCGTTATAGTCCATCTACCGCACAAACACAAAAGGTACAAAGAGTATGCCAAGCTTTTTAAACATTTAATCACTACCAGTATTAGCAATTGTAGATATCACTAACTGCTGTTTGACTAGTTAGAATTTCAGGCCAACACATCCATAATGTAATTCTAACTAGTGGGATTTCGATTATTCTAATTCATTCATCACACTTCAGAATGTTAATTCTTGATATCAACAGTAAATCTGTAAAGAGTGGAAATGTCCAATGTAATAACTTTAGTATAACAAGTCAACGTTTATCTCTGACTGTTATTCAAACCTAATTACAAACATCTGTAATTTAATTTTGACATATTATAATTCTAAGTTTATCCAAAATGTCATTTTGATTAACTGTAATTCCATGTAATATTATCTACAACTCAATGATAACTAGTGAAAACTCAATTCTTGATATTACCCGTTACTATATTCATTGTGGACACCTACAATTCTTCTCACAGAGATAAAAGTCTGATATGTCATCGTAAATGCAATTGTAACTAGGAAAAATTATATTAATATTACTAACAATTCTATTTAAGTTATCTACAGTTCCATACTAATCCATATTGACTATCTAAAATACCTAAAACGCTTTGCTGAAATATCTGAAATGCATACCCAAAGTGGTTATGTATGGGTCCAAGTTCACATCCTTTTTCATGTGGGAATTTAATTGTTGAAATCCATAATTAAATTTGAAATAACGGTACTTCTGTTTTTTTCTAGTTCAATGCAGTTTCTACATACAAAAACATATATTGTAACATGTAAAAATATAAAGTCATCATGTGAAGACATCTAAATTATCATTTCATTTTTAAATTAAACTAGCTGATACATATGAATACTATATACTATTGTAGTGTCTGGAGCTTAATCTTTAAAGAATTCGGGTAAATTTATATAATACATAATACATAATACTGTAGAGCCTTAAAATCAACATTTAAACACACAGAGGAGTGACTGGTCAAAAAAATGTTCTATACATAGTAACTACACTCTGAAAAAGAGCCCATGTCAGGCATAGCTCTGTCTTTATAAATCTCCATCATGTAAATATTTAAGTTTTTAATCTTATCTGGTGGCAACCTTCATATAAGTACATCATTCTGTTGCTTTGGAAAGACAGAAATGTAGCTGGAACCATTAAAAGTTGACCTAGAATGAAAAACTGCTTTGACTTTATACTGCTTTACTTTCTTGCCAAAATAAGAGATACAGCCAAAAATGATTAGATAGTAAAGTTATTTATTAATAAGTATATTAAACTAAAACAACTATGACGTTGCCAGCTTTCACCTGTCAACCAAATACCCTGTCTGTTATTTTGACCTGAATGAACGTACCTTTTCTTTGGCTTGGGCAAGCTGACTGAAGCTGCTGGTTGCCTCCTCATGGGCCAACTTCAGTTCCTGCCTCAACTCTTCATTTCTCCCCATCAGCTGATGTATTTGGGACATAAGCTGCAGGGCTGACTCAGGCCCGCTCATGTTGCTGACATCTATAGCCTGTGATAAGCGAAACAAGCAAAGATTAATATATATAAAACAAATCCAAAAAACCTTTGTTGATGAACAACAGCCATTCAGTGAAACCGAACAGATCATTTAAAGTGCAGTCTGCCTGTTGTACACACAAGCACTGTTATGTTCTAAACCACATTTCTGAGAAGACTAATACTATTCCCTGTGATTGTTTTGCAGTTTGTATGTAGCTGGCACCTGGTACTTCCTGCTACCTCCTCTTGTGTTGAGCACACCTTTGGCTAAGCCCAGCAGTGTGATGTCAAAGCTATAAAAGCATCTTCTTCAGCTGTCCCTAATTTGCCTCATCTTTGTATTATCATGTGCTGCGTAGCATGATCCAAAAGTTTGGCTTCCATCAATTTTTGTGTGGCTTGCCACAATTGTTGTTTATTAGGTTGCTCAGGGACAAGACCTTTGCTTCATCCATTGTTTTGAGCACAGTCAATCTTCTTGTGACAGCCTCGACACATTGAAAATTGTGTCTGTGGGAAAGATGTGAAACATTGTTTCAATATGAATTTAAAGAAAAAAAACTGCCTGTGCAGGCAAAACAAATCTATTGAACATTACATGTCAACCCAATAGTAAATCTATAAACATTTTGACAACATGTGTAATATAATGTCCAGGTTCTCTATTCAGACATGTAGAGTGTGCTTTTATTACCAGTTATTACAGCGGGTGACGTGTCAGCCGGCAGATTTTGACAGCCGGCTGTCAAAATCTGTCACCCATTGTCAGTGTCATCTCTAAAGAAGGCGAGAGTTTTCACCGAAACTGTCAGGTAATAAAAGCACACTCTAAATGCCTGAATAGAGAACCTGAACATTATATTATCAGTAAGAAGACATGATGAACGTTT